CAACGTCACTTAAGAGCTAGTGTTCGAATGATTCTTTAGTGTAATGTCTAAAGAAGAGCCCTGCACGGGGCGTTAAATCCCGGGCCCGAGATGTATTAGGCATTTTCACAGCTCTGATTGTGCATGATTTTTGTGTGCAGGCATGCGGCCGCTGCATTACGCAGCATGGCAGGGTAAAGCAGACTCAGTGCTGATGCTGCTGCGGTCTGGAGCTGCAGTGAACAGTGCCTCCCATGACGGACAGATCCCACTGCACCTGGCGGCTCAGTATGGACACTATGAGGTGGTGCGTATCTATTAAAACACACTCGCTGCTGTTAATTGGACACATCAAAAACACACACACACACTACAGAACAAACAATGGAGCAGGCTATGGTCAGATCAGCTACCTTGTTCAGTACTTCTTCGGAGAGGTTTCCGATTTTTACTTGCACTGCCATATTTCGCTGGCCCAACCAAAAAAACAAGGTTAATAGGCATTTCTTAGCAACATAGTTTAAATAATGTGTCAAACAACAGTAGCTTTTGTCAGTGTTCCTAACAGATAAAGCGCTCTCGGTAATATTTCAGCATACTTTCACTTTCGTATAAGACATGAAACACATATTTGCCGGTAGGATTGACATCCCGCCCTACTCATCATTCTGTCTTCATATAGTCGTATATGTGGCTATTTCCCAATCATAATACACTGTGATATAACCTGGTTTGTTAGGGTGCACTCACACTATGCTATCCGAAACGTGCTCAGGCTCAGGTGTGGTTCACTTGGCCGTCCCCGACCGTGTTAGAGGAGGTGTGACAGAGCGCGGTTCACTTGGGCATTGGTGCGGTACGCTTATAGTGTAAAGCGCACCTGAGCCTGAAACTGAAGACGAGACGTGACTTTTAGGGGACTGTTTAATACGGATTTATTAATCATTCTTACTGTTTTCAATGAACGCAAACTGTCGTAGATTATTAAAGACACAAACCCTTCACTGGACCTTCAGCAAACCTCCTAATTCCTGCAGCTTGAGGGCTTTATGATTGTTTATAAGCGCCAAAAGTTGTGGATCTGTTCGGCGGAATATTTGACTGCGTGTCACTGCATCCCAAAGACTAAAGTGATGTAACTAGAGAAATCTCCACTGTGCTGAGCGAGTGAACTGAACAACACATTGATTGAAGCATGCTCAAGCTCAAATGCAATGTGAGTGCAGGCCGTCGGGTGAGATGGGAGGGGGGACAAGCGTGTTTCGGACCGGTTCAAGGCAACTGTACATAGTGTGAGTTAGGGCTGTAACGATACACGATATAAAATCGAAATCGTGACACTCAGATCTACGATCCTGTGTCGCGGTGTGATAAGGGAGAATCGCGACACACCCCGTGACTACCTTTCCAATAACGTCACGCCTGCCTGCAAAAGTTGAGCTAGTTGAAGAAGAACGTGAGGAAACACTTTTTTTTCCGCTCGACATTACGAGCACTGCTCCGTTTAAGCCCTCGCAGTTAGCGTTTAACAGGGAGAGCTCGCACGGAGCTCTTAGTAAGGGACTGTCTGAATGTGTCAGGAATATCAAAAACAAAACCAACTTAACCCCTCTTGACAACCGACAACGGCAGAAACATTGCCAGTGCTGTCAAAGCATTGTTGTTAATGTGGCTGCGCAGAGAGGGATGGGCGTTCACCAGATGCCCCGACTCCTCTGCAGAGGAAACCTTTCTGTAACCGTGCTGTGCACTTTCTGTTTAACCCTTTGGGAGTTAACGTTACGTGCTGACTGACAGCGCGATGTGTGAGGCCAGGAAACAGGACGAAGCTTTCAGTTAAGATGAACACAGTTTCTATAGTTATACTTTATTTATAGATAAAGGTATAGGACTCTGGTTATAATCCCTCTATCTTGCTGGAAATTTATAGCCGTTTCGCTTTACTTCAGGACACATGCCGCTCTGAAGGTCTAATCGCTGTTTTAAGTTATCCAGAGCTGTATGAATGTACAAATCTTGAATATAACAATAGCATTAAATATTACAATTGTAACAACACAGACAGCAACACTTATGCACAATTGATACCCAGCTGATTCAGTCGTTTCATAAGAGGGCCACGCCTCTTCTCTTCTTTTTTCCTTGTCAACATAAAGGCAGTGAGATGCGCCTTGTTTTCGGCTTATAAAGCATGTATGCACATTAATGCAATAGCATATTTAAACAACAAAACTAGTTACAAAACAGCTGTTTACAAAAAGTCTACATATGCGCGCGTTGTTGTTGTCTTTTCATCACGCAGCACGCGCACTTGAACCGCGAGGGAGAGAGAGGAAACCATCAGGACTTATTCTTTAAAATAATGATTTCTATTAAAATGTAAAAGGTTTTGTTATTATAATAATAACAGCGGGGCATTAAATTAATGCATATTTTCCGTGGAGCGGGCAATTTGAGGAAGTCTGCGATTTTTATTTGACGGAAAAAACGTGATTGGAAAAAAACAGCCTATGCCGGTTGTTAAAAAGAATCAGTCAGTATTTTCGTTTTGTAATATAAATTAATTATTTAAATGAAAATAATTTAGGGCAGTCCTATTTATTTTATTCATTTTATTTAGATTATTCTGCTCTTCTGTGCTAAACACTGCAGGTGCGTGAAGATGCTCTGTTGTTCTGTTCTGTTATTAATATGCTAGCATTTAAAAATAAATCAGTAGCCTATTTTAAAATGCAAAATTTAATGTGTCAGACACAACATAGACACGTCAATTTGTTTAATATAAAATTAATAGTAATCTGACCAGTTAACCGTTATTATAATAACTGATTAATCAGCGGCGGTTGTCTGTTAGAAAAATTAACCGAAATGAGCATCCCTAGTAGCCATTTAATTTACTTTTTCTATGTAAGAGAACTTGATTGAAAAAGAATTTTTAACATGCTTGAACCATCTACACAATGGAGTTTAGTTCTGTTTGGTTTTACAAAAGTATTTTGTTACAAAGAAAACAAAAATGATATAATTTTATTTAATAAAAAAATAGTTTTAAAAATCTTTTTTTCCCCACCCAACACAAAAAAAAAAATCGTGATACGAATCGAATCGTGGGTTTGGTGTATCGTTACAGCCCTAGTGTGAGTACGCCCTTAGTTCATTGGATCTTTCACACTACAGTCGATTCGCTCTGAAGTTTGTTTCAATCGAGCCCAGACCACCTCATTCGGGCGATCTCGGAGCGATTGATTTAATGCGGTTCCGATTGCAGGATTCACATATACCAAACGAACCACGCTTACTGGGAAACGAAACAAACGTCTTGGTGTGAAAGCGCCTCAAGATTGTATTTGGACGCAATTGAAAAACAGTCGCAGCCAAATTGAACTTTAGTGACGAGGCAGATCGGACCAGTAGCCATCCTGTCTGGGTAGGTGCCTCTAGCATTTCGTATGCTGGCCCCGGGCCATCAGGCAGTTCTTATTGTTGAGACCCGTTCGACGATGGTTGAAACATTGCTGGTATCTGGATGTACTTTAAAAAATCATCTAAAAGAAATGATCCAGTTAAGCTGTTCTACAACAAGACACACACACACACACACACACACACACACTGTTTTGTTTGTTTTTACTTTTCCAATCTTTCCAGTTTCACTTGGTTTTTACATTTTGTACCATAAGCCCAGCCCAGCAGAAACGCACTCGGCAGTGTGGGTGTGTGTGTGTGTGTGTGTGTTCACAGCACCTGTGAATGATCTGACATGACATCATCACACTGCAATGTACAGAAATAAGAGATCTGCATTGCGGCATCAACAAGTGACCCCAGATGGGTTTGTATTGTGCGTGTGTATGTGTGTGTGTGTGTGTGTGTGTGTGTGTGTGTGTTAGCGAGGGAGCAAGGATAAGCTGCCTGTTATTCGTGTCGCTTGAATGAACAAACATGAAATGTTTTCACTTTCTTTGTGTGTGTGTGTGTGTGTGTGTGTGTGTGTGTGTGTGTGTGTATGTGTGTGTGTGTGTGTGTGTGTGTTTGTGTTTCAGTCGGAGATGCTGCTGCAGCACCAGTCGAACCCCTGTGTGTTAAACAAGGCTAAGAAGACTCCTCTGGATCTGGCCTGTGAGTTCGGCCGAGCGAAGGTCAGTAGTTTCAGCTGTGATGCGTCCTAATATCAGTGTTTATCTTCAATCGTGTGATGTCATCATTATCACTATGGCGATGATCTCATACATGACACGTTCTGCTCTTAGTTTGTTCATTCCGTCTCCACTGCAGCAGGACTTCAGATTCTATACTGGACATTATTTCTGTTCAGTGATGACACTTTAGTCTAAGCAGAGTCAGACCGCACTGTCCTAATGAAATCAGTCAAAATCAAGGCATGATCATATTATATTGAGCTCACATAAGCAAAATCTAGAGGCCTACAGTGCACTGAGCTGTATGCAATAACATTATGGGCCCTATCATACATCCGGCGCAGTGTGGCGCAAGGCGTGGCGCAATAGTCTTTTGGTAGTTTCAGCTTGGCGCAAGAGTGGTTTTGAGGCGTTGCGCTGCGCTGTTTAAATAGCAAATGCATTAGCGCTCATTTGTGCGCTCATAGGCGTTCTGCTCTAGAAAGGAAGGTGTTCTGAGGCGGACCGCTGGCGCGTTGCTATTTTAAGAAACTATAATAGATTTTTCATTAGACCAAAACAAACCCGGTCTAAACTCCAGCGCAGAGTTGCGCCTCGCTTACACACTGCTTAATACACACAAGAGAGCAACAGGCAAATATCTTTACATATGAAAGAATGTAAATATTAAGGATATATATAGGATATAATAAGAATAGATATAGAATATAAATATAAAGGATTAAAATATTACAAAACATATTATTTTCTAGCCTACATAAATATGAAAAATCACTGCTTTTATGTCTTCTTCATCTCGGGAGGCTTTTTCAGTTCATTCAGAACAATTTGCTTCTGTATAATGTTATTATTATTAGCAGTATTATTTATTATATCCATATTTATATTTGTTTTATTAAAAACAAGCTTAGATTTGTCCCCCTGTCAGGTTTTAGACCATATGGGGCATGGCAGGTGTATTTGGAAATAACTCAGGTTTTTGAGCACACTTCATTATTATTGTTCATTTATTCGTTTGCTGGAAATTAGAACTGAATTTAGAAATAGTTTTGAAACAAACCTTTGCGCTTAACAAACGAAATAAATTATTTATAGACTAATTGATGTCTGTGTGTAAAGGTTTCCCTATGCAAGAGCAAATGTGAAAGTGATCCATTATCTCTCATTTTCACGCAGTAGATGCTCTGTTTAACAGTTTTCTGTTAACTGTTTGCTTGTGAAATGCTCATTTTCTCCACTTAGACTTACTTTGCGTCCTGTAAATAGTGAATGCGCTCTTGGCGTGACGCAGCTGGCTCTTAAAGGGAATGGGAGATGAGACTCTGATTGGTTTATTCTCAAAACACACCTATAACTCATTAAGAAAATAAACTCAACCCTTTTAGACCATGTGCCACGGCGCAAAGCAGGTTTTCCCATCCGTAAATTAGCAAAAACGCGTTCTGACACGCCCTGAAAGCGTTTGCGCCCTGCGTTTTGCGCTGTGCGCATGGACCGTCAAAATAGAGCCCTATATTTCCTCCTGTCTCTCTCTCTCTCTCTCTCTCTCTCTCTCTCTCTCTCTCTCTCTCTCTGTGCTCTGACTGATTTCTGCCGTTGTTCCTGTTTGCCTTTGTATGTCATTCGTTTACTCAGTGAATATGAGCTCCGATTGCAGTTGCTGCTTTCTTTTACATGTTCTGATGCACACACACACACACACACACACACATGCCCAGCGGTGTGTGATTTCAGTGCAGCTGTGTGTTTAGACCTTTTTGAGGTGTGACTTTAATGGCAGTGTGTGTGTGTGTGTGTGTGTGTGTGTGTGTGTGTGTGTGTGTGTGTGTGTGTGTGTGTGTGTGTGTGTGTGTGTGTGTGTGTGTGTGTGTG